CAGCAGGAAGATGGGCACCAGCACTGCCAGGTAGGAGTAGGACAGCACGGGCGTGATCTCGTTGGTGACCTGGGGGATGGCAGGCGTGTGACCCCGAGCCCCGGGAGCGCCCGTCACCCATCACGTCTACCAGGCTTGGCCAGGTGCCTGGGAGCCCCACCCGGACCCCACGCACCCCTTTAGCGTGGCGCCCCACCAGGACTACGTGGGGAGCGCCGTCCTCCAAAAACTTGCAGCCCGTTAAGACTGTCCAGGGCAGCCAGGGAAATGGAGCAAAGCACAGCCCGAGCCCCACACCGTGCTCTACCCTATCCCCCACGGGTGTGCTTCTCAGACAGTAGCTCGGTGCTAACACACGCAGAGAGCTGGTAAGTACGCCGAAAATAATCAGTAACTACGTGCTAAGCCATGCTGATCCAGGCTTGTTTGTTTCTAACGAAATAAAAACGTAATATGATTTCACCTTAAGTCTACCGATACAGAAAACAGAGCTGCGACCAATCTACACTCATGCTGGCCGCCAAGGAAGGCCTTCAGTGGCCGGTCCCACTCGGTCCCAGGGCACAGGGGATGCAGGAGAGGAGCGGGCCCTCAACCCCCCTTTGCCAGGCAGGACTAGGGGGATGCATCCACGGGACCCAGGACTCCCGGCTCCACCAAGGGAGCTGCCCGCAGCCTCAGCCACTCAGCTCTCCACTCAAAGAGGGCTGGCCCAGTAGGACCCCCCCTCCTGGGCACACAGGCCAGAGGCCCGAGCCACAGACCCACTTGGGACGACAGCCAGCTGTGCCCCTGGCCGCCCAGGAAGGGCCATCCTGGACCCAACTGGGCCCAGCCCCCAGCAAGAGGTCCCAGCTCACGAGAGGCCCAGGTCCCTGGCCTTGGCCCCTTCCTGGGGCATGGACATGGGAGGCACCCTGTGCTCAGAGCCTCTCCTGAGGTCCCAGGTGGGTTTTCAGCAGGTGGCCCCTCACAGGAGTTGCACCAGACCCCATCTGACACCTCCCAGGGGCTCCGACTGAGAGCCCCACCCAGGGATTCCACCTGACGCTGCCCAGGGCCCGGCCATAGCTCAGATCAGCCAGGTCAGCACCAGGTGAGCCTCGGGCCTTGTTGGGATCTCAGAGGCTTTGGCCTCCCTTGGGTCCTACCTGACTCCGGGTGCTAACCTTGACTCAGGCCTGACCATCTGCTAACACCATGGGGCGATCCCTGCACCAGCCCAGGGGGTCCTCAGCCCTGCAAGGCCAGCAGGCACCGAGGCCCACTTTACAGACGCTACCGAGGACCCAGGGCTGAGCCCAGGCCAGCACGGCCGCTTAGCGGCCGGCTCACCTGCGGGTTTCTGCAGCCCTCGAATCTGTCCACCCAGGATGCGCCACCTGACCAGCCAGCCCCAGGGCAGCTCTTCCCAGTGTGTGCCCAGGACCCCGGGCTAGCACGCACACCCACCACCTCCAGGGTTCCCCTGCCCGGTGGCCTCCTGCACCACACGCCCACCAGAAGCCATGGCTGACCCCAAAGGCTGTGGTCCCCCAAACACCGAGCGCTAATGGCCCCAGGACAGTCCGAGACTGTATTGGTGCAAGTCCGGCCCCGGGACAGGATGAGTAACCAGCGCTGGTCCCAGAGGGGTAAGAGCCTTGTTTATGGAAAATTCCTGGAACATCAAACCATCCCTCAGTTAGCTGACGAAACCTCTTGGCAGATGGCTTGCACAGCTGCAAGGGCCACGGGGTCAGAGCTGAGGGAGACCAGCTGGTCTTTTCCTCCCGTTGCTGCTGCCCACACTTCTCAGGCTGGGCAAACACACAGGCCAGGCGAGAGGCTGACCCTCACACCTGTGAGGCGCTGGGAGCACGGGCACCCACCAAGTCCCTGGGGCAGCTGGCACGAGGACAGCCTCCTACTGGCCTCAGTCCAGCATCGCTGGGCCACGTTCCCAACACCTCGGTTTGGACGGGCCGGGTCCAGGCTGATGGGCAGGACATGGGAGCTGGGCCCAGGTGGCTTCAGGGCGGCAGCTGCTCTGAAGTCAGGAGGCCTGGCTGGGGCCCCACAGCAGCCAGGACCAGGACGGGGTGCCGGGGGCCCTGAGAACCGGCAGGACCAGGGGAGCAGGGCAGGGCCAGGCCAGGCCAGAGGGGACCTGAATGCCAAGAGGAGCAGCCCCTAGAGTCAACACCTGGCAGCACCCAGAGGGGTGCCGAGTCCTGCCTGATGGGGAGGGAGGACAGGACAGGGGCCGCCACGGAGGATCCCACCAGCACGCCAGGGTCAGCCATGGGCTTGGAAGGACTGCTGTGTGAAGCGCCCGTCACATAGCAGGGTCATGATGTGAAGGGCAGGGGTCATCATGGAGCGGGTGGGGGCATGATCCAACCCAGGCAGCTCAGATGCAGAGGAATCACAGGCCCAAAGGCGCAAAGCAAAGCTCGGACCCTCCCGGAGGTGCTTCACGAACCGGGGGTGGCGGCACGCAGGGCAACACTCAGCACAAACCAAAAGGAAAACCCGGCAGCATGAAAAGGTGAAGCTGCGGCATAAAAGGACATGGCAAGCAGGGAGGAGGCCAGCGCAGACAGGAGAAGCCGCTGCCCACAGGCGGCGGATCCCGCCAGCGCCAGGAGCCTGCCAGGCACAGGAAGGCAGACGCCCGCAGGGAGGGGGAGACTGGCTGAGGCCTCGCTCTGGGGACAGCCAGGAACACGGCACCGCGGCAGAAATCGAGGAAATGCAAACCCAGAAGCAAGCTCTTCCATCTATCAGATGGGCAGAAACTCAACAGCGCCTCGCGGGTGCTGGCCCGAGGAGCTGGCAGCAGCCTCACGCTGCAGGGGGTCACAGCAGGAAGCCACCAGCAGCAGCATTTCCCCCAGGGACGAGCTGGAGACCCCTGGAGCAGGGGTGGGCAGGCCCTCGGTTTGAGGTTTGAGGTTCTGAATGCAAGTTGGGCAGCAGCAGCCCGAATCTGTGTGGGAGGGCCACAGACCCATGGGGCTCTTCCCAGACGGGCCTCTGCCGTCCTCTGGTCACGTCCAAGGCCTGGTGGGTGGCTTAATTCCTGCAACCTACTGTTTAATCAGTTAATGCGTGAGCTAAGACGGCAGGTGGGGGGAGTTCATGACAGGTTTTCCTTCTTGTTATTTTCACAGAGCTTCCCACTCACTCCTACGTCATCTCCGCAGTGGAAGACAGCCCCTTGCAGAACAGAGTGGTGTCCAGGGAACTGGCCAATCAGTGAGCGAGGAATGTGCCAGACCGGCTGCTCGAGGGAGGCAAGCCCCCACCCCGGACTCACCTGGGAAGTGACCCCTCTGGCTGCAGTGCTGGCCGTGCGGTCAGACACAATCACGCACACACAGCTTTGAGCCTGTGCACGCGGCCCTGGCACCCCGGTGTATCCATTTTCCAAGAGGACCACTTTGAGGGAACAGGCCTCATCTGCACGGCGACTCCACGTGACTTAATTCTGGGGTCGGTGAGGGGTTGGGGCCGAGCTTTGGACCAGGCAGAGGCAGGGGCTCCCTGAAGAAATCAAGTGGGAAATCCAGGTGGGAGCCAACGGGGGCCAGCGACAGGGGGTGTGGAGGCCAGTGGCCACCATGGAGGGGACAGACAGGGCTGGTGGGCCGGGGCCAGTCTCTGCGGTGGCGGGCGGTCCTCACGCAGGACGAGCAGGTGTGGTGACCACAGCCCTGACCGTGAGGTTCATCAACCAGCGGCCTCCGAGCCCGTCCAATCTGTTTTATTTTATGGAGGCGGAAACCGGGAGGAACGCTGCCTGCTGCCACCTCTACTACACGCTTGATCCCAGAGACTCCCGTCGGGTATGAGCTTATTAGTCAGGTTCCAATGAGATCCTTTGTCCTTGTTCTGAGCAAAAGGCAAATTCCTTCCATAATCCCTTCGGGCAAGCAGGCCTCTGCTGGAAGCAAGGGCCCAGCGGGCGGGTGGGGGGCCCCCTTGCGCTCTCCCCTCAGAGGCCCACGGCAGGCATGGACCCCTCTGCCGGACCCGCCATCCCTTTAACAGCGGGGACCTGGTAGCTGCCAGCACCCGCAGCCCGAGCAGCCCCCGCACTCCGGCCCAGCCCGCCCACACGCGCACCCACGTGCCTGCTTCTGCGTGAAGTTCTTGTCGGGGCCCAGGAGGTAAGGCGTGATGAAGCTCTCCCCGGGCCGCATCTGGGCCATGAAGCCATAGAAGCAGAGGCAGAACACCAGGCTCCACCAGGACTGCAGCTTGCGGCCCGGCCTGGGCTCCGCTGGCACCTGCTTCTCCACCTCCGGGCCGGAGAGGGCCATGCTGCCCAGGTCCCCGACGGCCCTGCAGGAGACCGAAGGGGACGCTGTACCTAGGAAGGAGAGCCAGAGTCAGGGCAGCTCAGGAGACAGCCCGCAGCCGGCTCCCACCCCCGGAAACTTGGCTCCTCCCCGTCATTCAATCGGGCTCAACCTCACAAGGTGGAGAGGCCTCAGCCCCAGCCCCAGTCCCAGCCCCGTGGTCCAACCTGGAGCTTGTGACGACCCAGGAGCCAGGCCCACAGCCAGGCCACGCTGTCACCACTTCTGGGGGCTCCAGGGCTGCAGCTCCCACAGGGTGGCTGCCAGCCACGTGGGGCCCATAAATGTCAAGGAATGAAAACTAAATGCAATTTAAGATCCAGGTCCCCGGGGACACTGGGTTCATCTCACGAGCTCACAGCGCTGGCTGCGACTGCTGGGCTGCGTGCACCTCCCCCGCAAGGTCTGACGGCCTGATCCTCACGGTGTCCCAGCGCCAGGCGCGTCCAAGTGCCAGACCCAGAGGAGAAGCGGTCGCGCCCGCGATGGCCCACAGGACGTGGCCGGAGGAGGACCTGCCGGGCCAGGCACACACCAGACCACAGTACAGGGTCGGGGATGGGGGCAGAGAACCCCCAGGGACCACCGAGGGCAGAGTAAGACTTCACCCCAGTACCATGATTTCAACACAGGCCTGGCCCTTGCTCAGCAGGGGAACTACTCCAGTCAGAGCCCGGCTGCTCTTCTTTCCTCCTGTGTTTATTTCTGTGACTGGGAAAATGGGGGGCTGCTGTGCGACAGCAGTAAACCCCTGAGGAAGCTGCGGCTGGCAGGTTTGCCTATGAAGCTACAGTGAGGGGCAGGGTAGGGGTGAGGGGGGCAACAGCGGCCCAGGAGTTACAGGGTCCTAGGTCCCAACGTTCTCAAGGGCCAAGCGAAACACCAGCTAGGACGGGGGCTGGAACCCGGCCCCTCCCCCGGCACCCCTCCCCCCGGGAGGCGTGGTCCCCCAAGAGCACACAGGCCAAATGGCTCCAGCAGAAAGGCTCTGATGTTTGGGGCAGGGGGTGCACACACGGCCCCCCACTCCAGCCCCAGGAGTCCCCCAGGTTCACTCTCCCACTCCCGGGGCGCTGCCCCCTGGGTGCCAGAAAAATGCACACCCTCAGCCAGATAAGCACCCAGCGTGGGGTGAACAGCCAAGAATTTACAAAGCCCAGGGTCCCCAGGAGTGGGCCCCCGCCCTCCCTGTCCCCCAGGGGCTTGGGGGCCCCTGCTCTTGGCCCCCCTGTTCTGAAAGAGATGACAGAGGTTTCCCTACCTGGCGTCCCCGAATCCCGGGGCGGGAGTCTCAGATCCCAGAGCCCAGCAAGCTCACCGGCTGCTTCTTCCTATTTCCTGGACTCCCGTGGCTTCTGAAACCCCGAGGCGGTGCTTTTGAGACTCCAGTGAGAGCTTGTCAGAAGTGTGTCTGAAGGTCTCGGACACACCCCAGGACTCTGCACCCTGACACGGCCCCCAGACACGCCCAAACAGGTGACCGAGCAGGCAGGGAGCTGCTGCCTCGGGATTCCCAGCTGGTCACTGATAAGAGCTCCGCCTCCAGTATTTCAGGCCAACACCGCAATCCCGCCTCCACCGACAGGCAGATGGGCCCCAGGGCCCCGGTGCCCAGCCCTGAGGGTCCAAGGAGTCCTCCAGGGTCACAGCACAGTGGTGGACCACCGCCACCCCCAGAAGCAAGGACATGCAAGGGTCCACACCCTGCAATGGCCAGGGAGCTGTGGGGGGGGTGGGTAGGGGTAGGGGGCAGTGTCTGCTGACACCAGGGGAGCAGGGCTGAAGGGACGGGGTTTACATGGGGTCTCAGGGAGTGTCCCACGAGCTGCGCCCCCTCCCTCCCAGCCCCACCCCTACAATCTGGGGACGCTGTGCTCAGTGCTGGAGTCCCTCACCTTCCTCCTGAGTTACGGGACAGCTGGAAAGAAGGAGGGGCCTCCCCCAGCCAGCAGGGAGAAACCCAGGCCTCCTCTGCTCTTGGATCACAGGAAGCAAAGGGCCAAGGGCTCACCTTGGGCTCACGTGCACAAGGTCTCGCCTCTGGGCTGCAGCCCATTGGCTGGCAGGTCTCCCAGGCTGCACGGGGAGCCTTCTACCTGCTGTCTCCAGAAACATCTGCTCAAGGAGCCCCTGAGCCTCAGGCCTGCCACCCAGCAGGGGTGGCCGAAGGAAGGCAGCCTTCCCACCGAGGCTGGGAAGGGCCATCACACGTGTCAGAAAGAGGGACTCAAACTACCTCTGTGCTTCTCACTCAGCCCGGGTGCCAGGGACCCGCTCTCCAAGGACGTGAGTGAAGATGCCACCCCGGACAAAGGGAGCTGCCTATCCTAGGAAACCTCCACCGCCCCGTGGTGGCCCAGTGACCCCTGGAGCCAGCCTCCCCCTGCCCCGTGCTAGGGGAGCAGACACAGCAGTGAGGATACCAAGAAGCACAGAAGGTACCAGACCCGCGGGGCTCCCTTCAGAAATGGCCACTTTCATTCCTGCTTGACATTTTTTCCTGAGCGTTGCTTTAAAATCTGTCCCTTCCACCCACATAAGGCCCTCCTCCAACTTCTTGTGGGGAGCACAGTCCTGGGCCTGCCCTTCACCAGCACCCCTGGCTCCTCACGGTGAGAGGGCCCCTGCAGGGGCACCCAGGGCAGAACTGCAAGAAGGGGGCCGCGAGGCAGCGCTGACCTCTGTCACCCGTCACAGGCGGAAACGCCCCTACAGGCCTCACTGAAGAGAGAAGGGCCAGGCACTGCGGCCGCTGCGGGACCACCACCTGGGGCCGTGAGCAGTGGCACTGATCCGAACTAAAGGGACACCCGCCACACCAGGCCGGGCCCACTTTGGAAGGTGCGTCCCTCCCACAGTCTCCCACAGTTGGCTCTGCACCACCGGACGCGCTTCCCAAAGCTTCCAAAACGAGCGGAGGGGCTGCCAGCTCATGGGCCCATGGCTGGACCACAGGGTCACGGGGAGTTGCTTGGCCCCATCCCGGGAGCACGGGCTGCCACACAGGAGCAGCAGGGCCCCCGGGAGGAAAGGCCACCTGTACTGGGGCCTGGGATGGGGGTGCAGAGGAAAGGGCAGACGCGGAGCAAGGTTCTCCCCTAGCGAGGCCGTGCCCCCAGCAGGGAGCTCCGAGGACTCCGGCTCCGGCACTGTGGGCAGCCTGGGAGACGGCTGCTCCTGGATGCATTCTGGAGTTCCGAGCTGGCCCAGATTCCAACCTGTAATCTGAGACCTGCGGCCGGGGATCCCCACATGGCGAGGAACTCCACGAACACACGTGTGTGCCTGGCAGATACCTGGACACTCAGGACAAGTGTTTCGGATAGGACCCGGGGGCTAGCTTTCCTCCCGTAGACGTGTAGAGCGTCCCACTGCTCTGGACAGTCTCCAGCGCTGGGCTCCAACCGCGCCAGGAAGTGCTCCAAGGGGAGGTTGGTCACAATTGGACTCCAGGCGCAGGAAACTACAGCGGCTTGGCTGGAGACCAGAAGCGCACCGGGGGCTTCTCCACAGGCCCGCGCGGAGACCGAAGGTGACAGACGCTTGGAGCGTGCGCCTGGGTTCCCACATGGGGCGAGGCTGCACGTGGGACTCACCGCCCCTTCACTCAGCGCCCGCGCCGCCGCGCCCAGCCCGGCACCAGGGGCCCATGCGCCCTGTTCTCTCTCCGGGCCCCAAAGCCACCGGACCCGTCCATCCCCACACTCGGAGCGCGGGCAGCCCCGCGCTCCTCCCGCACCCCCCGGTCCTCGCCCCCGGAGCTCCTGCACACAGGGGAACCCCACTACCTGCGCGCTCGCGGCCTCCGCTGCTTGGCGCTAGAAGGGACCACACTGCCCACAATGCCCCGCGGCGGCTCGCTTCCGGGAGGCTGGGGGAGGGGGCGCAACTGGTCCCGCCCCGCTGCACATCACCGCGGACAGCAGTTGCCAGGGCTCTGACACGCGCCCCACCGTGGCACCCGAGGTCCCCGCGGGACGGGTGCAGCAGCCCCGCGCGCACGCCCCGCGCCCCGGGACTCGGGGCTCAGTCCCCACCCCAGCCCACCGCGTCGCCGCGCCCTATCACGCGCCCCTGGCCGCTCAGCGCGGGCTACTCCCCGTGCGTCCACACGCCCGGCCGCACCCTCCGGAGCCCCCTCCCGAGCTCCTCGCGCGCCCCTGGCGCCTACTTCCGCAGCGCCTGGCTCTGGTCATACTGATCACAGGTCGGGGTTGTTCTGGAGGCCTCCGGGAACGGACCTGGACAGAGACGCGCCCCCCCCCGGCGGCCCGCAAGCTGTGACCCCGCCCCTCGACGAGTGCAGACCCGCTGACTTCTGCACACCCTGTCCCGCCGCCACCCTGTGCCTTTTCTTCTCGGTTCATTCATTCTGAGATGTTCCTTTCCTAGGCAACCCGCAAACTCAAGCCAGGGACGTGGGTCACTGAGCCAGCAGGAGACAGCACTGTGGGGTTGGAAGGGGCACCCTCCCCCCACGCAGCCGTCTCTGCGGATCACCCTGACCCACACTTGCTCTGGTGGTTGACTGGGGACTCCAACAAGGCACAGGCTCAGCTTCCCCGAGGGAGGCAGAGTAAATTGGGAGAGGGGCACAAAGACAAAGGAATGGACCAGAGGTCTCTTTGGACCTAGCAGAAGGTCCCCTGGAGGGATCCCAGGAAGGCGACAGGCCAACGTCTCTCCCCGCTCCTCACGGCAGGACCGACCCCCATGGACTTGACCTGTCTGGTGTAGTGAGGCCCGTGACAGTGAGGGATGCCGGCCTCTGAGTCATGGCAGGGAGGTTGCAGGTGCCCAGGCTATGACCCTCAGGCTGGAGCAGTGGGAAGCAGCCCCTCTGGCAGCCCCACTGCTCCCCACTCCTCTCTGCTGGGAGGGGGAGAACCCGGAGGCTGGCCTCACAACCTCAGAAAGTGGCTTCGCCCTCCCGCTGCCCTAAAGGATGGCACGAGGGAGTG